CCTTAACAATGTACCATTGTCTTACGGTTTACCTGCGTGGTCATTTTTTACTCAGCGATTTGCGTAGGTACTCGCAACACTAAGAAAGTTGTGTAAATGAGACACACATAATAGCGTACTGTGACATCCACGATGCAGTGCAAATGCTTTTTTTCAAAACCCCTTGCATCTGATTCAAATAAAAAATCCATACTTCTCTTAGATTTTCAACTTCAACATTTTACAGTTTCTCGTAAAACTTTTATTTATTATGTACATATCTTTAATTTATTCTTTATATTCTTTGTTCTTTAATTAGTGAGGGTATGCGCTAGACATTCAGGACTGTAAAAACAGTAAGCCACTAGTGCGAGGATTTCTCACAACATTCTTAAGTGACTTTTGGAGATCAGATGATTATCCATGGTGTGTGGTGGTTGTTGTTGGCAAAGTGTTATTATTCGAGCTACTTTCAAGTGCTCGCTCTCGTTCGTACAGATGAAATACAAAAAATGAGTGGGCAAGGAGGTGACGGAGGTCAAGGAAGTAGAGAGACGGACAGGGAGGGGATGGAGGAGGCAAAAAAATGAGGGAACGAAGACGGAGTAAACTGTCTTTTAATGTAATGAATTAATGGAAAAAAATTACCATTCGCCATAAAAATTATTGAAAACTGCTCCAAAATTAAATCGTTAAACAACAGCAAGCAGATCGCGTGAGTAAACAATATTACTCGGGGCGGGCCATCGATGACCACTGACCATTATGCAAATATGACATGCGCATATATGTATATACAGCTAGAGGAAGAGAAACTGAGGGGAAAAAACTGACCTTGTACATTTGCCATGCTATATCTGACGGCGTCCATCTGCGGTTTCGGTGGTATTTGTGGGCGAGGCCGAACTTTGACTCCACCCTCTCCGATTCCTCCTCCTCCTCCACCGGCTCCTCCGAATGAACGTTGCTGCTGACAAGGATCTACTGTTGCTGTTGGTGTTGAGGATGATGATGATGATGACGATGGTATTGGCGATGATGATGATCCGGGAGTTTGTTGCAGTCCTGGACTATTGTGCTGGTGTTGTGAGTGTCTGGGAGATGGCCCTGCTGACCCTTGTAACCGTCCTGCTTGGTTTACTGCAGTTCCTGATTCCGTCACATTTCTATGCTCCGAACACTCCATCTGAAAATTTAAATTCGTAAGAAGAAAATAATTAATTAGAGCTATTTCGCGTAAATTTATGGCTATTCGTTAAAATTAAAATTCTTTATTTGTAGAGAAAGCTTTTTGTTTTCCGGTGACCGATATTTCTCTGGTCC